ATTATTATTATTTCATTGTATGGAATAAAACTTTTCGAGCTTGTTGAGGCGTTATATTCTGAATGGCTTGTTTTCCTCGTACTTCCAGGTTCTCGGGGGTTGTTGAGGAAGTTGCGTAGACAATATTTTTCAAATGACCCCAAATGAAAAAATCCAACGGAGTTAAGTCGGGTGATCTAGCAGGCAACCTAATAGGACCATGTGTTCCAATCCATCGCCCCCCAAATCTATCACGAAGATACTCCGTCACTATCCCACTATTATGGGGAGGTGCTCCATCCTGATGAAAAACAGTCGATTTGCCAGATAAAGCGGTAAATCTTCTAAATATTCTTCAATTTCATTTCTGAGAATACCTAGGTATCTATCACCACTCAAAGGACCATCAAATATCATGGGGCCAATTATCCTAACCCCTACTATTCCCAGCTCGACCAATATCAGGTATTCTGTCTATTAAAGAAACCAAGATTGGTGAATCTTGACTCATCTGATACTGTTTTATCGATTTCCAGATAAAATAAAGTTTTCATTACCCTCATTATGATCAGGATCACGTCTGAATTCCTCTTCAAGACGCTTGAAATGATTTCTAACCGGACATTGTCGTGCGGGATATCGCTCCGAGTATAACCGATGAGTCGCAACTGCATTTTGCCGACATTTCCCATAAATCAATAGCATATCTACTTTCTCGTTTCTGTTATCCACTTGTGGCATTTTTAACTTATTTTTCTTATAAATCCGATTGTCAACAATGTGTTCAGTAACTAACAAACAATGTCAGTTTATAGAAATGTCAAAAGTTGTTAATTCATAGCCACCTCATTAAGTTACCTTTATTGAATTGAGAAAATACTTAATAAATTCTCATGGCCCTCTAGATCGAAAAATAAACCGAGCGTCTTAACACTTGAAATATCCAGTATGGGATATCATTGGATTCAGAAAATTGTGTAGATTTCAAAAATGTAATTATATACAGGGTGTTCTATTTAAAAATTAAACGTTGATAATATTTCCGGGAAAACCGGAAGTTAAAAAAAATCTCAAATTACGTCAAAAAGTGCCTCTTTATAAGCATAAACAATAGTAATAGTTCCGTAAAAATAGGTGAATGAATAAAGAACAAAAAGGGGGTGTACCTTAAGTCTGTGTCACACGGTATAGTTGAGTGGGATGAAGTAGGGATTCAATTAACAGGTTGATCTGTTTGAAAATCTGTTTAAAATATGTTTTTCTGTTAATCAGCTGTCGCCCTCATACGAACGACAACTCTCAGAAGTTGAGAAAATTGTGCGAGCTAAGGACTAACGAGGTCTTACCTTTTAACGTGTGATTCCTAACACGGTTGCAGAATCATTCCAGCTTCAACCAGATACTCTCGAGAAAAATATCTGGCCGAGGCGAGAATCGAACCCACGGCCTTCCGATCGTGAGTTAGGCGCACTACCACCGCGGCCAATACTTCTAAATACTACTTCCTCACATATATACATACACATATTCAAGTCTTCTTCAATAATATTTGATACTTCTTCTTCAATTATTTATTGTTTCAATTTTATTTGTTTCAATTTTACCCAAATCAACTCGATGGGATTGAAAACACAAAAATAGGGGTGAAGTCTAAGTATGGTGTGTCTATACTTTTCAGCAATAATCTCAATGGCATACACTTTTTCACTTTGGTTTTTGGTATAGTAATCTTCAAAATACAAATTATTCTCCATTAAAAAACTTTGTGTTTCATCTTTCCTCGAATTTTTATTTGGTACTTTGATAAGCTGTCACGAACGATAGGAGGCGTTGTCAACAACTATTACACTATTCGCATCCAAATGAGGGACCACTGTGTTTTCAAACCATTCCTTGAAAATATTAGCTACCATGTTGCAGTCCTCATTGCAGTCCTTAAGTTTCCTCCACATGATTTCAAAGAATTCGAAATCCATCCTTCAATTCCTCCGCAATCCACAATGATTAGTAGCGATCCTTTGTTTGCAGGCATGTAAGGCGTACACATTCTCGAACCATCAGTCTACCGTTTTATAACTGTGTCGTGAGTGTCATACCAATATTTGCCCAAATGTAAAATTTGCCGTTGTTCTTGTTTATATTCAGTTATTTGTTCTGAGTATTCTTCTGCTTTCCATAACTGCTTCTCGTTTGTTTATTATTTTAAATCACAGGAGCTCACGTTATGGCCGGAAGTATTCAATTTCTTCCTTATGATTTCAGTTGTAGGAATCTCATTTCTTTTGTAACAGTGGTATATTGCTTTTTTCAATAATTTAATCAAATGAACATCTCTATATTTCAATATTCAAATGCATCCGAATCTTATTCACTGGTATCTCTCTTTCGCATTGTTCACCATCGCTATTGAAATCACTACACTGGAAAAAGTCTGCGTTGTATCATACTCGTTATTACTATTAGTACTTGTCCAAGGACACCACATTTTTAACAGATAACAAAAATTTTAAGTAATCATAACGGCACCAATATCGAATTTCAACACTCAAATCGCGATCAGTTCTGAAGTTAACATTGATTGCACGACGACGATAACCATCCTCGCATTCCCTGATTTGTATTCGTCACCGTAACATGACTTCAAATTAAATTTTATGGGACACCAGCCAATCATAAAACTTGATTAGTGAAAATTATCCAATACGAACCTCCAATTCTACAGTCCACGTGGACTAGTTTGCAGCCGGTTCATTTCTATGCATTTGTTGAGAGTGCCGCCAATTTAAAGTGTGCACAATGTCGTTTACTTCGACTATACCTGAAGTAGTTTAATTTTTATTTTATCATCAAAAACACTCTCGTATTTTGGGCAAATACTTTCAGATTCAGAATGTTTGTGACCCATAAACGTAAAATAGCATTAATTATATTAATGTTTTGGATAAGCAATATCAATATGTTGAATCCTAAATTAGGTTTGAAAAAAATGAATGTGAGAACAAAAGAGTTACTTCTCTTTTTTTTTGGGAAAGAAAGTTTTTGGCTTTCTACTACTCCATCTGATACAAAAAAATGGATGAGAGAATCTTCCAAAGAAAGGAAGGATTATTCAATTTGAAAATAAGTTACTTCTCGTACTGGAAACTTGCAATGTGGATTCGAACCGAATCGTTACTTCAACAGCCTGGCCACGGGACACCCGCCGATGCGAATATTCGCGCGGTGCGAACGGCGAAGCGTCTAGCGACTGAAACAAACGCATAACAATGTACTTATGAAGCCACACGCAACGGCGACCGGCGAAATGTACCAAGTGAACCGCGTGGGCGACTTGCGGCGCGACGGGCGAGTAAAACAAATACATGAATCAGTACGGCGCGAGCCACGGAGTCGCGCGGCAGTCGCGGCGAATAGTGCAGTGATCAAACGAGTTTGATTGTTTTCGCCGCGAAAAATGAACACCGAGACTTTCATTGCTGAAATACTAGCTAGACCATCTATTTGGAAGACTGATTAAAAAGTTAGAAATTTATTATTCATCCTACCGTCAATTACAAGTTAGAAGTTGTTTTTTGTTTTAGTTGTATGAAAAATTACTGTCATTCAATTTTGATTTTTGCAATAAATAGCATAATTATCTGAAAGGGTTTTTATTTCATGAAATATTAATATACAGGGTAACATTTAATTAGCTGATAATATTTTGGGCAAATATAGTTCCAAATAAATTTAGTTATAAAAAAATCCGTTTGCGACCATTAGTTTCTTGGGAAAAGTTGTTCATACTGATGAGGTTATTCTCCAAAATATGATCATCTAATTAAATATCACCTCTTCACATAGGTATATAGATAAATACGTAATGTAAATTAATATAGATGGATATGTATAGATAGGTAAGTATATCCCTTAATGTCAAAAATAATTTTTCGGCGGCATTTAAAATTCTATTTGCATTAAGTTTTTTCTCCAATTCTATTTGAATATTCATAAGAATATAATAGAAGGTTTCAATACTCATCCTGGTATACTCAAAAAATGTTTCTGGATATAATCTGTATTTCTCGTACTTCTTGTGGAATTCTCCATCTACACCCCGATTCTTATTCAAATCATGTACTCCACAATCTCTTACAAATATTAGGTCTTGAACCAAAAAACTATTACTTTCCAGGCAATATGGAGATAAATTCTATAAAGATATTTCGCTGTTGGACTATTGGTCGCGGCGGCGAACGTGACTGCCCGTGACCTGCAAACGGTGTCGCGCGAATGGTCGCCTCGCCTTCCGCTTCATCGTTCGCACCGCCGATCCTCGTGGCCCGGCCGTAAAAGAGAATGAGCGTTGTGTGCGTATAGTTGGTGTTTCAAATACTGGGTGAGATATCAAGTACCTAATTACTGAAGAGCAATTACTCAAAAAATAAAATTTCACACAGACAGGTACACTGTAAAAAATATTTCACACCATCTTACACCAGCTGACACCGACTGGTGTCCATATAGGTCCTCATTTTTTCAGTGACAAATAACACCGACATATTTTACACTAGGTACTAAAAGGATCATGGGGAACACCAAATGTGGTGTTATTCACAACACATATTTTATTTCAAATTAATATTCCTTTTATTGGTTTTTGAGTTCACTCAGTGTGTTTTCAAATTTTTATGGTGAATATTATAAAAAATTTCGGTGTAAAATTCAATAATTTTTGGTGTGTATAAACTACAAAAAGGTTTCCTTCAACATTTTTGTAGTGCAATAAAACACAATTCTGGTGAAATGTTACAAAATAATAGTGTGAATCTACACATTTTATGGTAATATTTTTAATATTCAAGTGTTTTTTTTTAATTCAGCTTCAAGAATGTTATTCCTGACTGTGGTTTATAGCACTTTTTCGGTGTAAAAAAAGCACTATTTTGGAGTGAATCAGGTCTCTCTCTTTAATTATTTTGGGTGTAAATTTACACTAGATGGTATAATATCATATTCTCCTGGTGCAAAATCTATCTTTTTTATTTTGATTGCATACTAGCACCAGTGTTTCTGTAAAAACATTTCGTGCAATTCTCAACTTGATTTAATATATTTGTAAAATACATTAAAATGATAAATATTAAAAAACACTGGTTTTGGGTATGAATTCGAAAGATACTCAAGAAATTAAATTCGCCTAATAACAAGAAAGAAAAACAAACATAAATCATGTATAAATTCCATTCATTATCGAAAATGTATCTATGGAAAACATATTTTCCTCAAATAAAAACCTCAAATAAAAATAACGTTTATTAGAAATAATAGAAAACCTAACTGGCATGATTTTTGTTGACAGTTGGTCTGATACCAAAATATCAATAATTCAAACTTAAGAATATTATTAAATAAAAACAGATTTTTGAGTTCTTCAGTAAGATTCATTTCCTCTGTTGTTATCGAAACATTCTGGTCGTGAAGGTGGTTGGCAGGAGCATTGTTTCTGTCTATTTTACTTATTCTATTTAAAGTTGTCAGTCGATTTTCAGGATACCCTCCATTTGTGCTAGGGTTGAAAAAAATTTCCTAAAATATTACATTTTCATTTTACATCTAAACACAAAAGTCATCAATTATGAACTCACGTAATCCCCTGTAGAACTTTCCGAATTTGTGTACACTGGGAAAATTTCAACTAATTTTTTTGCGCACTCCATTTTTGCGCTCTTGGGTACTGCACTCCCATATTTTTCATAATGCACATTTGCAGCTATGTTTCTGCTTCTGTCAGTCAACAGTTTATTCTTCTGGTACTCGTCTATTATGTACTGCCCTCCGCCACGAATAATTTGTGTTTGTAGATCCTACAAAATAATAATTATAACAATGATGTGAACACTGAGTTATGGCAAGGAAAGCCTTATTATACATAGTAAGTACTTAAATCTACATCTGAAATATTTTCCATTCTGTAGCTAATTGATAACGTAGATGTAGAGCTATTAGTTCTATCAAATATATCAGTATCACATATTGCCTTAAAAGTGGAATCTACAAAACCAAATCCGTATTTGTAATTGATTTTTTGATTTGAAAAGTCACAGTAAATTTTGGAAAACCTCGAATTTAAATGAAACAAATTATATTTTGTGAGAAAATATATTGGAAAAAAATGTATCATTCACCTGACAATATGTCCAAAGGAGTTAAGGTCTCGGAAATCGGATCAGAATTTGAAAATATCCTCAAATAAGGTTCTTCTTTGGATTTGCGGAAAAATTCCAAAAAATCTTCTTCAATTTCAGTGAAGTCTTTATCTTTATTAAAAAATTTTATTTCACTTTGAATACCCATCTTTTTTTTTACTGAAACAAAGACACAAACTGTCATAATATAAAAAACAGATAGTTGATGTACTCTAGTAAGCGGTGTATTTTCTGAATCGGAATTTTGCTGTCCTACACCAGAGGTTGTTAAACCACACTGAATCGGATTCTATGCAGGTACAAACTGGTGGTTAATCATCAATTCCAAACTTTTATTTTAGGTAAAATATTAACGGAAAAACGTGAAATTAGACACATGTTCTTTGAAATCACCTATAAAATCTAGAAGTTGACTGAGTACAGCTTTGAAATCAATATTATACTTATGGAAGTTTAACCAACCATAATTCGCTGAGAAAGTAGACTTAAGCATGTGAAATAACATTCAAGAAACACTTACTTTCAGCCTTGATTACTTCTGGAGCCAAATCGATAGCTTATCCACTTTTCAATGCACTTCATTGTTCAAATTTCCACCAGAGGGACAATTGCCACAGAAACTGAATAATGCACCAGAAGTTTTAAGTTTCAAGATGTCTGATATCCAACTTCACTATACACAATAACGCCAACCAAGCACAGACAATAATTGGTTCCCAATAGTATATTTTTTACAAACAGACGTCCTACTGAGTGTAGAATTTGGAGTAACTCTTTCAAATCCACGGCTGTCTGACTGATTTGATACAATACTAACAGTGGCGCTATTACAGCGTTGCCAGTAAAATATTAAAATAATAGGACCTCAGTCAAATAAAAGTTCAAATACATTATTTCGTATATAAAGTAAGTGTTTATTTTGTATTCCAGCCTCAGAAAAATGAATTGAATGATTATTTCTTTCGTCAAATAGTAATTCCACAGAAATCCAGAAGGTTTCAAATCTAGGAAACATTTTTGTCTCAAAGGAAACATGTGAACTGTTCAATAGATACCACTTTGTAATTTTATAACCTGAGCCAAATCTTTTTCCTAGTGTCCATGATGATGATGATGTCCGTGATGAAACCTGTGATGGATCGAAACAGCTCTGTCTGATATTGGATCATGGATGGAATGTTTCGTTGCTTATTAATTTCATAACTCTATGGTTGGCTGGAAGGGCAAAATCTTGTTCTATGAACAAGATTTTTGAACTGTACCATTGTATTGATTGGTATATATATATTGAGGTTGTGTCGGTGGGATCCTTTCCACGAAGCTTCGACCCATTCGGAGGGCGCGCTGGCTATGGCTAATGACCATTCCCCACAGCTTGGGGTAGGTGATCACTGAGTCCAAAAATCATGTGCCCTGAGTAGATTTAATGAACCAAGAATCACAGCCTTCTGCATTTGATCAGCGAAGATTTCTGCCGTATTGCGACAAGCCGGTATGATCTTAAGATTTTAGAGTAGGGGGGCATCATTCCACCAAGGACTCCAATAATCAGAACAACAATTTCAATAGAGTGGTTTGAGTAGCGTCTGTGAAGTTTGAAGAATAAATCTCGATATCCCATCCGTTTTTTATTCTCTGTGTAGCTCTGTGGCCTCAACTCCATAGAGCTATTTGAAAAATATTGGCCAAATGAAGTATGGCAGCACTGTCAGTCAATGAATAATATACCAAATGAGTGAATTGAAGTACTACTCTGTGCCACTAGTAGGTACCTAATGGATAAAATGTTTCAACCATAAAAGGATTTTAACATTATAAATAATAATATGCATACAAAGAGTATGCAAGATAGAGGTTATAATTTTTTAAATCTTTGCACCATATTTCAAAATATATCAATTACTTCTCAAGCATGAACTATCTTTTTAACTATCCACTAATTATTTTTATCATTTTTTTTTCAAATTTAATGTAACAAATATATAACTTCCTTATAAAAATAACACCTAGAAATGTTTATTTCTGCAGAAATATGGTGCTTCTTACGAATTAACATTTTAGTGATCAAGAATATGTCATATTTGCGTACGATATTTACTCCTAATTGTCATAATGTAATAAAATTAGTGTAACTTATTAACTTTGGTGTACTTTTTGATACCAGGTTTAAGGTAACACTAAGATATGTGAAAGTTTGTGAATGTTTCTTTCGCAAACTGTACAAAACACCGCTATTGGATTGATCACTACATAATGGAACACAAGTTACACCATATTATTATCATCTTGATAAATATGGCAGATCTATAATATTTTGGTGATATATTCAATCGGAGTGAATTGTGAAAACTCGTTTATTAAAATTACACTCAAATATTTTTTACTGTGTACTTGAAAACTAACTTAAACCACCAGCCACAACAAAAAGGAGGGGTTAATGGAATATTGGTGGAGAGGGCACGAGAAACTCAATCACCTAATTCAGAGAGTTCAACAATAAGCTTTTCACGGACTGGTTACCAGTCATATTAGGAAACGCTAGTTGAAGTTCCAGAAAATCACATACGTTTTTGCTACATATACTATAAAGCAAACAAGTGAGCATTTTTCCAGCAATAGATCTATAAGCACAAGACGAGATATACTGAACGGAATCATTCAATCCAGAGCGGTCAGGAGTATTGATTCTGCAAGAACTCCAAGAATTCGGAGCAATCCTCTTGTTGTCCTAACGAGTATTTAGTGGGCTCCAGGAAATCAGTTGGTGGAAAAGATGATACGTTCTTACGAAACTGCAACTGAATGAACAATTGTTTGAGTTTGGTGAATAAGTAGGAAACATTCTCGTTCTCGATCATCGTTAAAACCTCGTTCTAGAAAGTCTTTGTCATGAAAAACACTTGTTGAATGCTATTCATGTAGCAAGTGTTTCCTAAATTATCTAATCCAATATTCTTCTCAAGATTTTCAGGACAACTGTTTACTGACTCGTAAGGAAGAACATGTTACACAGAATCTGTATAAGAGCCATTTTTCAAGCTGCAATCGATCCTTCCAAGTGATAAAATGTTTCGTACAGGAATCAATTCGGCTCTTGCTTCATGAAGCTCTTCCACTGAATAATAATTAACCAATCTTATGAAATAGTCTCTCACCATGAATATAACACCAGATATGACGACTTATTGAAAAACCCAAACTGCGTTTGTCAACTTCCAAAATAAATTCTTTGAATATAAATTTGAAAAATAGAATTCGGTCAAACATATGAAATCTTAATTTCAATCAGTTCAAAATCTGGAACAGTATTTTGAATCTAGATGATTTTACAGTGTAGAAAAGTATTCACAAAATAACTTATGATAACATTATAGTAATATATTGGTATTGGTATTGAAGATAATTATTGTTGCAGTTTCACCATATTGTTAGCCTTTTTTTCAATTGATTTGTTTATGCTATATTCTTTATTGTTTCACTGTTTTCTTTTTTCATTGTCCAAGTGTTTGTTTAACTCATGAGTATATGTAAATGTTCACAACCTAGTGTTGGAAATAAGACTGTTTATTTATACGACCTGCTGCACACAATATACAGGGCTATTCAAATTTGTTTCTGTACATAGGGATCTCGTAAATAAAAGGTTTTCTTATTCGAAGTTCATTGTAGAAAACGCTCAGAGCAATGGAAAAAATATGAATAGGTACCTAAAAATGAAAAAAAAAACTCTAGAAAAACTCTACGATACATAGGGAGACGTGAAAGTTGCTATTATGTTTTTATTCAACTCAGTCAACCAATTTCCAGAGCCGTAATTTAAAAGGGAATAATTCACACAATTATAATCGAATATTACCGAAACATTTCGAAATATAAAATTGATGAAGTGTATGATGTGAATGTCTACGATACAAAAACTACAACAAAAAATACAGGTCCGTATTTAAAAATTCAAAGATGGGGGTAGCCTAAGTCAGATGACACCCTGTATAAAAGATTCATGGATATATTCTGAGAGCCCACATAAGAATTTGAATAGCCCTGTATATCGTAGTTAAATAAATTACCTATTTATCTATCTATTAGAGACTCTCCTTGCGAATGTAGATAATGAAGTACGACTTTGTTATCCGTGGTATGGTCTCTAAAAACATTGCATCCACTGCAGTGGAGGCAATGTTTTCAGAAAATAGTTTAGTTGAAGTAAATGAAATTGGGCACTCTTATAGTTGGTGGAACTCTCAAAGGTCAAAAAAATCAATACATAGAAATGAACATTCTACCACACACATTCTACTACACTACCATTCTATGGCACTATGAAATTGTGATTTGCTTCGAAAAAATGTTACAAGAGACCTACAAAAACTTAAGTCGTGTTACGATGCAAATTTTCTATGTTTAAATTTCAATAAAACAATTTTTTTTACATTCAAATGTTTTCTTCAGGATGTAGAATTAGGTACTGACTCTATATCATCTGACAATGAATTAAAATTCTTAGGACATAACATAGATACCAATTTGAAATTCACAAATCAAATTAATATGCTAAACAAAAAATTATCATCCTGCTGTTTTGCCCTCAGATCTACAGCTGCGACAAAAATGTCTTATTTTGCTCTCATTGAGTCAAACTTAAGGTACCCAATCCAGTTCTGGGGTTCGTGGAGTAATGAACTCTTTGAGAGTGTATTTTTGCTGCAAAAACGAGCGGAGCGGTATTTGTGCCAAGTAAATAGGTTGAGTTCCTGCAAACCTGCGTTGACTGTAGACGTGGAAGTTTGTATTGGATAATAACTTTTACTAACCGAATTTTATGATTGGCTGAAGAGCCATAAAATTCAATTTGAAGTCATGTTACGCTGACGAATATAAATCTGGAAATGCGGGGAAGGTTATCGCCGTCGTGTTCAGTTTAGGAACTGATCGCGATTTGTGTTGAAATTTTGTGTTGTTTCCACGGAAACAAACAATTCTAAGCAACATCAGATTTGACCAATATTCCTTGCTCAACTGTACATAAAATAGTCGAAAACAATCCTTATGAACGGAAGACGCGATGTGATACAGGATTACCAAAACCTTCAGATATAATTATTGAAAAACACAATATACGACTGTGATAAAAGCAATGAGATTCCTACAACTGAAATCATAAGGAAGAAATTGAATACTTCCGGCCATAACGTGAGATGCTGTGACAAAACTCTTCAGAATTGGATGAAGAAACTAGGATTCACTGCATGTCGTCTTGAGTTTGTTCAGGTTGGAGCCCAGCTCACTTACCCTTTTGACTGATAACACAACGTCAAGCAGTTATGGAAAGCTGAAGAATAGTGGAATTGCATAACGAATACTTAGAACAAATAACTAAATATACAAGTAGACAAGAACAACGGCAAATTTTCTATTTGGATGAAACTTGATATGACACTCATGACACAGTTACGAAAGGGTGAACTGATGGTTCGAGAATGTGTACGCCTAACGTGCCTGCAAACGAAGGATCGCGACTAATCATTGTGCAATGCGGAGGAAGTGAAGGATGGGTCCCGAATTCTTTGAAATTATATGGAAAAAACTTGAGGACTGTAATGTTGACTATCATAAGAACATAGAAGCTAATATTTTCGAGGAATGGTTTGAAGACACATTGATACCATATTTGGATGTGAATAGTGTAATAGTTTTTGACAATGCTTCCTATCATTCGCGACAGCTCATAAAAGTACCGAATTCTCGTGGGTTGGGCTACCTATCGGGTGCATCCCTA